TCACCGAAAATCGGCAGTTCCTTATGAAACGACAGTACGATTTGGATTTTGAAGGGACATCTTGGCGTTACACATCGTCGACATCGGGGGATGAAGTGTTGGTGTGTTTTAGAGGGAAATTGAGTGTTTATCGATATGTTGCTAATGATGGCTAATTCCGATTGTATTGTCACAAGGTCTACGACTTTTGAAATATGATCACGACCTTGACCACTACCGGCCAATTTAGGAATCACGCTACTACGGCACCAACAGCAGGTTTAACCATCAATCTCAGTGCGTCAGCCACAATGTTCGTGTGGTAATTCCCCTGTTAGGCCATCTCCTGATAGGCATTTGGAACAAACAACATCGTGTTTGGTACCTCAGCTGTCCATCACGGAGATGTCTCATTGTGGAAGCCCTGGAAGCTGGTACATTTCCATGATCCTTTAGTGATTGATTCAATGATTTCCATCCAGCAAAAAGATTCTGGAAGTCTTCTATCGGTAACGCTTCAAATGTTGCTTTACCTGGCCTGTTACTTCGAGCAGCGCCAAATTTGAAACAGCCAATTAAATCAACTGAATTTGGACACTGTGATTTCACAAAAACACCAAGGTAACCAGCTCCATCGTGGGAAAAGCCCTCTTTTTCCTGTCTGGTGCACAGTCACCTACCTCATGAGGTGTCTAATTATCCCTTCCGAGCGATAGGTCAGACCTGTTGGAAAAAATAAATGCGCGGGTGTGTGTGTGAAGCGAGAGATAAGGCGGTACGCTGGACAGGCGTTCGAGGGGAATTCGCCGACCGATTGGTGGTAATTAATCAAACCAACTACAAATGATGTAATGGCAACTGTCTGGCCCCGGGCGCGCACTCCAATGGACACCTTTTAACACCTTGGGCAAGAGGCAGGGGGTGAAAGAAGCGAGGTTGCATTGGGTGTCTGGCTGTCGGTTGCAGAGGCTTCGGCAAGCGAGCGCGAGCGAGAGAGAGAAATGCCTGCTTCAGCCGCGGTGAACATCAAACGCCGAGGCTGGAGAGAGCACACTGGTCTCGGGGCTGTCGATCGTCCGCCTCCTCCACCCACCTCATCTCGGGGCGGCGAGAATGGGCACGCGTGTGCGTGCGTGTATGCCTTTACCCATGATGCCACACTGGCGTGGTCGTTGCATGAGCATAAATCATTGCCATGCGAGCGGGGGGAGGAGGTGGACGACGGGTAGCGGGCTGGTACGCTAGGGTACACGACCTCGGTCTCCCTCTCTCTTTGATCCCCTGTCGTAAATTACACGGCAATGTCATAGAAACAGTTGTGTGTGTGGTGCGTAGATCCCTCAGCGCGAGGATTGGACGTCTATAAATTCAAATTTTATCGTTTGCCCTCCACGATTTATGGCATTCCATCGACGGCAGGGAAATGAAAAGAGGCAGTCAGAGAAAAAGACGAAAATAATGACCGAGGGAGAGAGCGATAGACAGCGAGAGAGAGATCAAAGGCTGCCATTTGCTGCCCTCTTGAAATGAATTTTTTTCTTTCATTTCAAAACGGAGCGGTTTAATTGGCGAATAAAAGTACGCATGGTGGTTAAATCTTGAGTTTTATTGAATTCTTTTTAGACTTACTGAAACTCAGAACTCTTCTGTAAGCAAGTCTCAGTTGTTACGAAACAGTGGTAACTTTTTACTGTATAAATTAAACGCGAAGTCGGTAAGCAAATTGAATGGCTGGAATTGTTTAAGTGCGCTGTTTCTAGCGATATGTCCTTACTTTTCAAGTTTAATAGGACAAAGGGAAGAACGTAAGAAAGAACCACGTCTAAAATCGTTATTTGTTGGCGTAATTTACTGATAAGAAACCTTAGGGACAAGCAAATTTGCTGGCAAATGCCTCTCCGAGAGTGTTAAAACACAGAGTGCAAGAAGAGACAGAAGTTTGTTCGATAGAAAACGTGCTAGAATTTAAGATAGGACACCCTACATCCTTGCAACATGTTACAAAAACACCACAGCGTGTCTAGGTTTGCTGAAGTGCAGCCTGTTTGAGTCAAAAGAAATCCGTTTCGTCGGCGACTTGTCACTGCAGACCAGGTCTTCCTGGTGTTGAGTGGTTTGAAATACGCCAACCGGGGTCATTGAACCCACACCAAATCCGGTCTTCACCGCCATGCAAGGAACTCTGGCTGGCAGTGTGGACGGATTTCAGGGGAATCGTCCACAGTGAAATTCACTGGCTTTGTGTGCCAATGCAACAACCATTGCTCAATGTCATTCTGCACACACCTCGATTGACCAATGAGGGCTTCACGTCAACAACGTCTGCGACTGACTAAACGGAGTGGTATCGTTCCTTAACATGACCACCTGGATGGCGTAGTACGAGAACTCGTGAGGAGTTGGTGCGGAAGGTGCTGCCATAGTTGTGACCGTTGAAAAGCCTACTTTGAACCTGGCATCATGCAATTTCGGCTGTGGAGGTGGACGAACAAGATTGTTGTGTGACTTTGAGTCTAACTGGGTGATGGAACTGAACGAATTGTCGAACGCCTTATGAGGCGACTTAGCATGTCAAGCGTACCAGCCTAGTCTATATCGAAAACCGCAATGCAAATGGCAAGATCGTAGTGAGGTGAGATGGAGTGGGGTGAGGTGGCGAGGAGTTGGGTGAGGTGAGACGAGGCAAGACGCACCTTTCCAGTGCGACGGACGCGCGGCAAGCAGACGGCGAATGCGGCGCCGAAGAGTGCCGTGAGGGCGAAGAGGAGGATGGCGGCGAGTGCGGAGCGCTGTTGGAGGAACACCTGACCGAGGTATGGCGCCGCCAGGATGCCCAGACGGAAGGCAGCGGCGCACAGACCCGTGGCGAGGCTGCGCACCCTCGACTGGTAGACGTTGCTGGTGTAGAGTCCCGTGATTCCACAGCCCGCGGCGGCAGCGGCTCGAATGGCGAAGAAGACGGCGTTGGCAGCAGTCGGTGGCATGCAGAAGGACTGAAATCAGATCTAACATGGGGACTGCTTTAGAAATCTATTTCCACCTCGAACCAGTGAATTTGCTTCTTCCTTCTACAGCTTATTAGACCCTGCAAGTGTAGACTTTTGATACCTTGAACTTGCCACCGTCGTTTCACAAGAACACCTTTGGATCCTACCGCCGTGGATCAACCTACGTCGGTAAGCCTAACATTTGCTAATATGTTCAACCCCTAATTCATTTCGCCCTCCTACAATGACCACTTCTGGCTGCAAACGCAAGCAAACTTTCCCATGCATTTGCCCCCCTGATTTATGGCTATTGGTCTAATTTTAGTCTAAATATCCGAACCATCTCCAATGCTAAATCATGTTTTCCACTGACACCAGTAATAAATAGTGGTTTTGCCTGTTGTAAATGCAATTTCTACGTTACTTTAAGTTTGTGGTCTTAATGGTGGGAATTCTGGTCCCCATGTGTAATTGCGAGTGGCTGGGCTGACGTATTCAAACGAAATTTAAAATGAACGCTTGTGCTTCACCAGAAAGTCTGTAAATAACCAACAGTTGTGTCTGCTTCGGAAAGAAACTTGGGTTTTGTAATACCCGAGGCAGGTTTTTTGGAGAATTACAAACTAATTTGCTGCAATAGTCGTTAACGATTTATGGAAAATTTTGATCGAAGATTCACCATCGTGAATTAATAGGCTCTTAAAATACCTAAGGGCGCTAAAGTCTGTTGATGGCTTTGGAAATTCCCACATTTTTGACGCTGATTTCATCAGTGTTCCTCGAAATTCTACAAGACGAGGTTTAAATCTTCCGAAGAACATTTGAAGTGATCTCGCACACACTTTTTGCAACCACCTAATTAAGGTTTCTTAGACTGTCTTTCGGCAGTTCCGTAATGTGGATGCCATTTTTATGAAAACCAAGGAACTTTCAGCAAATTGAAGCACAGAAATCAAATGCTTACTAAAACACCAACGACTACCTGTCCCAATTTGTGTGGTAGATCAAGTGATACACATTCAGTACCACACCTGGACTACACGATCCAAGTCGTGTCTGAGACGGAAATCTCACTGAACGTCCTAATTCCTGGCCAGGACTCCCTTCATCAGTGGACGCTGATGAATACTCTTGAGGGGTATTCATAGTGTGTGCACGAATTCCATGATCTCGTCAGCCAATTGAAGTGTGACGTGTCATTAAATCAACCACTACAGCGTGATCTGGGTCATGTCCAAGGCCCAACATGGTCAGTGTGTGTTGAATCAGAAGCTAGACGGGCACACAAGATCGCGTAGGGTTCAATAGCAAGGCAAATTTATCGGTAGGCACTTTAGAATTCACGTTGACGACGCTTCCTGTTCCTCATTGGTCAAAAAGCCCGCCCTCTTTTTCCACTTCTACCGGACTCAACACCAGCTCTTAGCTGAGTAGGCCACGAGCCAAGTTGAGAGCGTCGTCTTGTTTAAATTGGGTCTCCTCTGAGAAGCTGGAAAAGTGGATGAAGCGCGCGGCTAACGGCAGCGGCGACAGCGGCGGCGGCTGACGATGAAAAACCCGTGCTTCCGACCACGGAACTATCGGCGTGGTCCCCGCGCCTTGAGGCAATGAGCTAGCGCGAGAGATGCGTGTGTGTGGGTGTGTGTGCGTGCACTTTTTATCACTTAGAGCAATTCAAGAGTTACTATCTACCTCGCCTTCTCTCTCTCTCTCAGCTGAGTTGGCGGTTATGTGAAAAAAGGCACGCGCCTTCCTTCCGCTGAGGCCTCGATGCAACGGGAGATTAATCCGGTGAAGAAAAACCCGCGGAAAAACAGCCCCTCAAGAGAGTAGAGGTAAGAAGTCAGACGAGTGAAGCAGACTCAATTTACTCTAGTGAAATGAAAAGTTTGCCAGTGAAAGAAGGATTGGTGAAAACGCGAAACCACGTGAGTAATGCCTCTCAATTTAACTGCAAGAAAGTTTAACCGCAGAGAAGATATGGATAATTGAGAAAAGGGTGTGTTAGGGATTAAGATGGGCTCGCAGTTTACAAATTCTCACAGAGTATTCTAAGTCACGACTTAAAAAAGTCAACGGAGATCGCGTACATTTGCAATGGCAGTTACGGATTTATGTGGCCCTTGATTTCGAAGCTAAAAAGATCTGCTTGAGGAGGAACATTGTGACCTCTGACTGAGTTTTAGTTCAGGAAGACAATGTCCCCAAGATCCACATTCCGCAACTTAAATGACGCAAGAATTCGGCTGGGGCAACGTCTCAGCACACGCAGTGCTGAGGTGCAATTATGCGTGGCTGAAGTAACATCTCAAAGACGGCTCACGGAACTGTAACCAGGGGACGATCCTCATCCAAATCGACGTTTAACACACACGCACACTGCTGATGCCAAGAAGAATCGTTGAAATGGGTTGGTTTGTGTCTGGAAATCTCCATACACGACTAAGCAAAAGAACATGCTGGGTGACAACAGGAAAGACGCGTGTTAAACGTCTTTAACTGGAAATACACCTGCAAATTCGTTCTCTTTTGCAATCCACAACATTCTGGTGTAACACGTGATTCTCCATCTTGTGGTAGTGTAAAGAATCAGCTTTGTTCGGTCTACTCTTTCCACATCATCTGTCACATCCAGTGACAGATTCCTCCAAGCTGGCGAATGTCGATGCGGACAACTCACCACACACGCCACGCAGATGACCCCACTCATTGTGCACTAGCCGCTTAGTTCAGTGTTCCGCTTATTCATATTCATTGTATCCTATCCAAATCGGATGGTTGATGTGGAACTATATTCCTCGATGGTTAACACAAGTCAAGCTACCGAACACTTTTCAAGTCAACAAGGAACAGCTCAGGAAAGTGGCATTTCACAATCGTCAGAAATACAAGACGTCAACAGACGACAAAGTTGGTTGCCGCATCTGAGAATTACTCTCAAACGCTCCCACAATCAATGCTTTTGTTTTAAGCCACGTTTTGACACATTGGCTCCGCACTTCGTTCGCCCCTTGCCGACATCATTGTTCACGTCGCAACATCGCCGTCCGTGTTGCCTCCATGTCAGGCGACCGACGTCAAGCGATACTCTCAAGCGGATGTTGAGAGTTTTTGGAGCTGGTGACGTGCTTGGGTTTAACTGGGTGGCATTTTTAATCTCTGAATAGGGTGAGATTTCATGCAACTCCAACTAGCTTTTGGCCGTCTCCCCTTAAAGTTGGATTACTGTTGAGCAAATCTATGGCCGAAACGTGGATCCAACGAAGTTCCTTGTTGACACCACCACAAAATGGAGCGTATCGTAGACATGCGTTCGTTCTCCTGAGCAAACAGTCGTCTGGGCACAAATAATTGCACTGTTTCCCCACTTCCACATGTGGTTCGTCATCACCACTTTCATGGCACTTGTAGGTGCCTTTCGCCTTAGAAGACGCTTCAAATTTCATGAAACACGTGTCCTCCTTGATACCACCCAGCGCGTTCCCCTGTTTTTTTGCCGTGACGTGCTGTGGTTAGATTTCCAGACATTGACCAACTGATTTCAGGTAGGTGGACTTGGATAAGGTTCCGTGATGTTTACTGAGACTGACGTCATCTGGTTGCAGTTCCATGAGCCGTCTTTCAGGTTAGCCTTAATCAATGCCACATTGCAACTCAGCATTGCGTGTGTTGAGACGTTGTCTTAGCCGAATTCTTGCGTCAGTTGAGTTGTGGAATGTGGATATTGTGGACACGGTCTTTCTTCTTCCTGTGTAATGTTAAAATGAAGGACTGTTTTAGTATTTCAGCTTGTGTCTGTGTGCAAGCCAATTAGCTCAATGTCCAAAACATATTCTTCGCAGGACTCAATAAAACATTTCTTTTTGCCGTCAATTTCACCGCCGGACGAAGGGAGTGAGTTAATCAAACAAGCGGTCACCGTGTCAGACTCGAAGTGAGCGTGGAGGCGGCATTCTGTCCACCCTCATCTGTGTCAAAATGACGACTTCCACACCGCAATTAAATTTAGCATTTTGCAAAATGCAAAATTTAACATATACACTGTAACAACCAGGGCGAAAATAGAAGGAAATGTTTTCGAATCCAGTCACTCGAAAAAACTCCTCGAAATTCAAAATTTTGTGGCTGAGATTGAAGAATTTAAGGGGCTTGTCTGGACGTCTACTTGTTGACCCGAACCAACATTGTTTCATCTGTGACCTCAGGAATTTGTGTGAATGAGTCATCAAGTTGATGGATGCCACGAATTCGAATCAAACGTGCTTAAGATCAACCAAACTACCCATTTGATTGGCTGTCTGGTAGAGTTGATTCAAGGTCATGGGTGAATGACCCTTCGTTCTCAACTGTCATGAACGAACAAAGCTTCTCCACATCTCACAGCTTCCTCCAGCCGTTGTGCTTTCTTTCGAGTTGACCAATGAGTCTAAGAGTATGACGAAGTCTTGGTGCGGGAGCCACAGTTGTCAAGTTTTAGAGTTCAGAGGGGTGCAACAGGTGTCACGCTTGAAAGCGAAGCTCACATTTTAAAAACGTCGGCATGGCTCCTTTTGTACCACTTGAAGAAGCTATCAACTCTCATTGGTTCCACAGGAGTTGTCCCGTCACATCCAGTGATTCAAGTCACATATTCCTAGTGGAATCGAATCAGCACATTAACCTTGAAATGAACCTATTTCAGAAATTTATTGTAGCCAATCAGCGAAGAAACGTGTACATGTATTAATTGGGTGATTTGGCGGTTTAACTGGATACTGTTCCACAAGCTGCCACCCTGGTCTTATTTCCACTTCCTTCACAATAAAGAGTCGAGCTGGTGGCTTACCATCACCGCAAAGATAAAAAACGCCGCGCAAACTTTCTAACCGGTCCTTTTACGAAGAGCATCACAGTTGGAGGTACCAACATGGGTTTCGCCAGCCTTAAGGAGATGACTTTGAACATTTTTACCGAATCAGAATTTGGAAGAACAAGGGACAGTGCCTAGCTCAACGAGGACTGGTTTGAACTAGGAGAAATGCGGCTTGTGACCATCTGCCGAAGTGAACGTTGCCTTGGTTGAAAAGGGATGCATTTCTTCAACGACTCGTAATCACAGAATAGATAAGCATATTTTTGAGTGATTCACGTTCAAATAACGGGCGGTTTGAAACACGATACCCAGCATTAATGAATATGAACCGACATCTGATCTACACCATCAAAGAAATCTTTGTTGCCAGTGTGGACGGATTTCCGAGGAATCGTTTGCTGTTGAAACCCACTGGTTTTGTATCCCTACCAAGCCACGACTGCGGCATATTATTACTCACAAATTTTGATTGAATGAAGAAGGCTTCGCTTCGAAAACGTCCAAGACTGATTAAATGGAATGATGTTGTTTTTCAACATAGCAATTTAGACCAAGTAGTGTCAGAATTCGTCAAGAGGAAAACGAGAACTTGGTCACACTCTCCACATTCTATGGCCGCTTTCAAAATTCAAAAACAAGAATATTTCGTCGTTGAAACAACAAATTACTAATGCGGGGACTCGGTAATTATACTTTCGTAGGAGAGCGTCCAGTCGCTGGCATCATTCCAATACTTACTCAATGTAATGCCTTTTCAAGGGGTCTAAATTTTCACAAGAAACCAAATTTGAATTCTGTCTAGTCGTGTGTTTGTTGTTTTAATTTGTGGAAGAAAGAGATGCATGTCCTCTAGAACGGACTTTCAACCACCGCCTGAGAATATTCATCGATATGTTCGCTGATCTTGCAAGCAGTACTCATTGGTCACGAGTGAACTTTCCTTCAATTCGATTGGTTGATTTCAATTGACTTTTAAATTAGTGGTTTTGTGGAGCCACCTATCTTCGAGTTGGTAACCAAGACCCGTTCTTTTTGACACCATCACCAAGCTACTCTTCTCCTGGAAATGTTTTCACAAGACGGGAATTTAAAATCCACAGGCAGACATTTTACAGTTTCTCGGTTAATGAGAAATGGCACAGACGTGTGGAGGAGGAGAAGGAGGAGGAGGTGGAGAAAGCAGATGGAGAGGAGTAGAAGGTAGCGGTAGCGTCGGCGTTCTGACACATGCACGATTTCCACCTCTTTTCACACACACACACTTAGGAATTCCCACCCCCAGCCCACCAATCGCTGAAGACGTGTGGTGGAGGGCATTTGAGAAGGCGATTAACACCAAGCGCACTCGCCTCATGACATCGGTGAGGTGACAAATGACTGCCAAACTTGCGCACCACGCACAAATTGCCACCGTCACACAGCCACAGCGAAGACGAACGCTTCGATAGTCTGGGGCCTCGAAGTTGTAAAATGAAATGTGCTTTATTCCTCAACACACAAAAAAGATATTCGTGCAACTAGAGCCTTCGGAAATCCTCTTTAACATGTTGACAAAGTTCGTGTACAACTGTTTGAGATAGCTATGATACAATGGTTTTTCAAGACAGAATCTGATAAATTTCGTCAGTAAGGGTGCTAGTTTTGTGTAAAATTGAATTGCTCATATGAACAAATGTGGACTTTCTGAACGCCTTTATGTACAATGATGTAGTTTTTAAGTTTTAAACGACCGGCATATTGTCAGATTTCACTCGTTTAACTTCCCCACACATTGCATTTTTGAATGTACAACGTTTGGTATAGGTATTCATCGATGAAGGAATAAGATTGAATGATATTTCGTGTTTCTGCTGGCATTCAGGACCTGAAATTTGAGTTAGCCAGGTCACTTCTAAGTAGACATTTTGCCCGCGAATGAGGTCAATGATTTCCGGTTTGGAGAACCAATTATTGAATGCTGGAAATGGAATTTGTCTTAATCGTCAAGACTCCCAGTAAACCGTCGAATCTGCTTTTTTTTCTCGTCATTGTTTACTACTTTTCACTGTCCCACCAGCAATCTCCTGATCAGCTCGCGGGATTTCAGTCAACCCAATCCCTGACAGCACCATCGTTGTAGAATGTCGAAATGGATGTGGTCAATGTGGCCAAAGCGTCCAAGCCTCTCAGACGAGTTCTTCGATTTCTGTCTTGATGAGTTGTGCAGCATACGGCTGGGCACTGTTCATTTGTGAAATCAAGTCGCGCTTCCTTTGAATGAGCTAATTCAAACAACGCATTTGGGCTGTTTGGCGCTACTCGTCCATAGTCTGGTTCTGCAGAGGCATAATTCTGTGGATGAGGTCTCTACAGCCCTACAACACGCAAATCGTTATCTTGAGAGAGTGGAGATCCTGCCTTACTCGCGGTGTTGCTTACTCTCTCCATTAGCTTCCAGTTTTGACAAATGGGTTTGTCGACCGACTCAGGTATTGTGGTCTAGCATTAACAGCAGCCAAAATCGCCTACAAACGGTTCTCATCGAAGTCATTCGTTGGACGCCCGAAAGCGATTCCGACAATGCCAATGTTCCCGTCGAATGAGG